ACTCTAGCTACAGTAATTTTAATAACTAATTTTTAAATCAATGAAATTACCTGTTTATTTAAATATTTGTTTTCAGTGTTGGCAGCAATAGATAAATAGAACATTAAAACAATAGAATATAGCATTAGAATTTATAATAAAACAAAATTTTATCAATAGAACAAACAATTGACAAGATTATAATTAGTATTAATTTAGAGTGTCCGAATTATGCGATTTCAATTCGATTTATATTGTTTAAAAATAATAGCGATAAGAAATCCCTGAATCTGGATACAGAGATACATTGTAGTGGGCATATGAGACACATGTCACTACAAATATCTCTGCGTCCACTGACACAGAGATTGTCATGTGATATTAATGTTAACATTAAGTCAAATTTAATCATAATTTTCCCGATAAATGTAGTTTGATATGAACCGTTACTTAATAGGGTTTTTTAAAGTAGATATGGTACATGAAGTCTCTTGTTGAAAAAACACACCACAAGAAAACTAATTGCTAAAAAAACTTTTTTGAAGTATTAAAATTTACTTAAAACAAATGGGATTGGAATCGGTTTAGAACGCTATTATACAGATTTTTTAATCAACTAAACAGTTCCAATCCCTAAATTCAGATTAAAATAATAAGTTCTTACCGACTGTTGAATGAATAAGTGTTATATGGGGGTGGCCATCATAAAAAAAATAAAATAAAAAATTATTAATTTGATCGAAAAGAAATTTATTACTAATTGTTAAAAAGTTAGTCCTAACGCATTTATTTGTCCAAATTTGAGGACTTTTGCCAGTGTTATAAACACGTCAACCTTACTGTATATAATAAATATATCGCTAAAAAAAGAATAAATTTCGTAAGGAATTTCAAATCAATTTGTTAGCATCAGCATGGAAGAAATAACAGTTATACCGGGAGAACAACGATTAAATTTTCTCGATTTAGAAACTTCACTCCCGGGCATAATCAACCAATACAATACTATTTTAAACAAAAAAAATGAAATAACTCGGTAATTTAAGAATAATAAATTAATTTTTAGACAATATATTTGGGGCTCAATTATTTAATTGTTTTGTACGGGAAAAATTTTTTTATTGCAACGTAAATTATAATTTACAATT